TTAAAACATTAAAAAGGTTTAAGTACAGAAAAAACAAATTTGACACTAATTTTATATACTTTAAAGATTCTAAGTCTCTTCTCTTAAGTACACCTCCATCATTAATCACTATAAACTTAGATTTTTCATTTGTGTTAATTAAGTACCTTTTCTAAGAAAAGGTGTGGCTGCTAGGTATTTATTAGCTGTTTAAATAATAATTAACTTCAAATCAATTTTCTTTTTGGTTAATCCAAATTACTTATACATTTTACCTAAAGTAGAAACAGTGGTAAAATTGATTTTATATATGTGTTTTAAATCATGTTAAAACATTGTAGAAAATACACTTACCTGTTTGTAAACAGTTTCAAAAAAAATTTATATTTTCAAAAGACCCTACACTCTATCAAAAATAGGATGTAAAAAGTATTCATCAGTAAATGAACATTTTACAGAAATCCTAAGTGAATATGTTAGTTTAGCAGCTGAATTCTTGATGAAAAGAATGGAATGTACTGTTTTCCTTTAAAATCTGGACAATTATATAATTTTTAATTAGAAAAAGGAGTGCTAGGGAGGGAGGATTTGGTAAAGGGACACAAAAATCAATCACATTGTATATTGATAAAATAAAATTACATTAAAAAAAGAAAAAGCAGTGCTAACAGAAGCTATACTCATATGACTATAAACCTATAAACTCTTTTTTTTTTTTTAAATTTGCAACGTAAGAAGTAAGAGAGGATAAAGCACATGTTGGTAATGAGAGAGGGCAATGGGGAAAAGCAGTCTGGAAACATGCAACACCAGCATGGCTTAAAGATCCAGACACAGTTTAACTCAGTTCAAGTCAAGGGTTAAGGCCAAAGTTAGCCTAAACAGTGACTAAATGCAGTTTAAAATCAGTAAGGGAGGTACTAAATAGTTTCTAGTTTATCTTTTTAAAACATTTAAAATTATATGTTATATTTTTTAACAAAACTATTAAAAATTTAAATAATTAGAAAATTAAAACAGTTAAGGCTTATTATTTTTTTTCTCTCAATTATATCAATTATTGGTACAAGGTATCATAACCTAAATGTCACTACTCATTATTCTAACTTCATGTTGGATGTTAAAACTTTACATTGCAACACACAATGCAATTGAATAAAAAATGAATGCCCTGAACACAATAGGATACAGGTTAACATCTCCAAAGGTTCTAAATACCTTTCTTATTTATTATTTTTACCATGTGAAGAGATGTCCCAGAGCATTTGATTGCTTACTGGCTGTTTACCTGGAAATCACTACCAAAAGATGTGTGAAGAAATAGAGAGGTGAACCTAACGGTGTAGTAAGTTTCAACCGGGAAGAAGAAGCTGAACATCAGGCCCATCCGTAGGAAGATGTGAATAGAAAGGATCCAGCCTAGAGAAGTGTTTCATGGCTTTCCACTCCCCTGTCCAGCCAAAGAGATTACAATGAAGGTACCAAGGTTCCAGCACTCTACATATGGAGCCCCTTCCAATGTCTAGGGAGCAGAACTTGTGCTCTGCAACCACACTCCCACGTCTGGCCTCACATCACTTGAAAAGCTTTTTTTTTCTTTCCCTTTTTGTCTTTTTTCGTGACCGGCAACGGATCGCAACCCTCAGTGTCTGGCCTCACATCACTTGAAAAGCTTTTTTTTTCTTTCCCTTTTTGTCTTTTTTCGTGACTGGCAACGGATCGCAACCCTCAGTG